TCAATGGCGATTCTGGCCAATATCCGATGCTTAGCTAATCACAAAGGTTTTGGGTTATGTCGCGTAAATACAAATGCGTCGTTAGATCGCGTAAATATAAACGTATCGTTAAATGTGTCGTTAACGATACATTTATATTTACGCGATCTAACCCAAAAAGCTTTGTGAATATTCGTCGCGAAAGCCTACGGGATAAAATTCTTAGCTAAGTTTACGTTTTATGAGCGTCACGATAGAACCTCAACTTCATTCACTGATCTTCCGTGACAGAATCTCTGCTAAAATTACATTCAACTGAATATAGACATTTTAACTTCGGAATAGCCCATGGAAGAATAACGATTAAATTTCCATATAAAGCTTTCGTGACTGCAGGGATTCATCTTCTGGGTTATTTCGGTAAAGTCAAGTCGAAGGAAAATAATAATATATTAAAAATAAAACATAATAAAATAATTCTCACGACGTTTCGGCCACAACGCAAGCAGCCGTCCTCAGGTGAAGAACAGGTCTGTCGCTGTCTTCCCGACAGACCTGTTCTTCACCTGAGGACAGCTGCTTGCGTTGTGGCCGAAACGTCGTGAGAATTATTTTATTTGTATTATTTTATTATTTTCCTTCTACGTGACTTTACCGAAAGAACCAAGAAGAAGAATAACGATTCTTGCACGAATCGACCAGTGCGACTACCGTAGGAATCGCTCAGTTCTGATGGAAGTTGTAACATTTCAGCTCAACTTACGCCATGAATAACAGACCGATAAGCATTGACTGTGTGTGTCACTATCACTGAGAATAAATATATCAATATCAATATTTCTGTACAGCATTTTGAGATACTATACAATAATTGATCAGAAGCGACCTGGCCACAAATGATAGCTCAATGAAGTGGGTTATCATGTGAAATTGTATAGCAGCCAAATACTCTAAACGCATGTGTCTAGGTTTGGAGGGAAGACCCAGAGAAAAATCCACGCGACCATCGGGAGAACATGCAAACTCCAAATATATGGGTGTCGGGGTCAAGATCTAACCCACGACCTCCTGCATACCAGGCGAGGTAGTCAACATCTCGCCACCGTGGCGCCCATACAGTCGCTCTGTAAATACAAATTACTGCATATTATTCAGGAAATACAAGTTTACAGCGAGAGCCCTAATGGTAAGGTGACAGAAGGGCGGGGTTGTGTTTATCCAATGGATAAGACACTAATACACACTGGTGGTTGGTGCTGGCAGGTTATGTGGAGATGGTAGAGCACACTCATCGTTTGGGCAAAGGACAGGGCAGCACTTGGCAGGATGACTTGTATGTATGTTGAACTTCTTTCGCACCGTACATAGCTAACCGAGCTAATCCGGGGTGCGGGGGGAAGGACAATAAACTAGCAGTCTGAGCGAATATCATCAGAATCAAAAATATTTATTTGTACTCCAGGAGGAATCCGATGAGCTATAAAGCTCTTTTTCGCAGGTGTCCAACAGGGGCGGGTAAGAACGTCACAACAACAAACAGGACAAAAACACGACAGTACAGGAAAGGCAAACAAAATCACCCAAAAACATACGAATATAACGAAACCATACCCATCCTACCGGGCAAAGGCCACTGATGTATAAGAAGCAGCGTGGACATTGTGTCTCCGAGTAGACCGACGGATAGGATCACAACCATCCCTTCTACTTGACTAACCGGGATAAATCTCCACCCTCCGGAGTTTAACAGGCAGCCACTCAAGAGACAAATGTCACGCGCGGTGGTGGTGACTCGATGCGTGGAGCGCTCCTCGGACCGTCGGGAACTTGCGATTCCATTTGGGCCCCATCATCCCCTCTGGGGTTGATAAAATATTAACCACTTTGTATGTGCGTGTGTTGAACTTCTTTCGCACCGTACCTAGCCAACGGCGCTAATCGGAGGTGCCGTTGAATGACAACTAACTAAACACAATAAAGCAGTTTTAAATAAATTAGTTTTCAATCTCATGAGTTTTTGAGAAGTCAGCAGTTATTATCCTTACGTAGGCGAGCCCTCACCTCCACTGGAATAAACTCCCCCTGTAACAGGGTGGTCCAGATGTCTTGTTACCCCTATTTCATTCTCTAAAGACATCTGGACCACCCTGGACATTAATCAGCCCCCTTCCTGAACCTCCTTTCGTTCCTCTCTCCAAGCCTCACGTATTCTTCTATTTCTCCCATCCTCTCCATCTTCCCTCCCCAGGCCCATCCACTCCATCCCGTCCCTCCCCTGTAGCCCTTTCGCCCGTTCGCTCGTTTCCCAGTCTGCTTGTCCTGGTCCTGGTGAGGGTCGTGGCCCTATAGCCATTTCGTGATCCCTAATTACCCCTCGAACGCGGTCAGACATCCCTCAATCCTTGTAGCACGCCTCTGCCGTCCACGTCATTCTGTTGTGTCTCCGTTTTGAAAGCTGCGTCAAACGCCTCGCGTGAAGGCGTTTTACAAATATGCAATTAGATAAGAAACTAAACTATTTTAGCTTACCAAGTAAGGCCCACTGAGCTATGTAGCAATTTTCCAGAAGCGACCTCGCCATCACAAGCTCAACCAAGTGGCTTGGCAGGTGGATTTTGTATATCGCCTTAAGGGGCCGCCCATAAATGACGTCACGCGATTTTGGACGATTTTTGACCCCCCCCCCCCCTCGGAACACGGCGTCACAAAAAGTCAGACCCCCCTCAAATATGACGTCACAAAGCTCTGCCCCCCCCCCAAAAAATATATAAAACATGCTCCAAATCGCTTTAAACTATTGTCATTGTAGTGCGTATTTCATGTGGCGCTGCGCTCTGATGTTGTAGGAGAAAACATTTATTTAAAAGTCTATTTAATTAAGTAGAACGTGTTGTCTATATTTATTTAAAGTTGCGAATTTTTATGTGACGTCACATTTCTCAAACCCCCCCCCCCCCTCGTCACACATCGTCACAAATGTCTGACCCCCCCCCCCTAGGTGCGTGACGTCATTTATGGACGGCCCCTAACACGTTTCATTTTGACCGTCCGATTTAGAAAAGTGCCCCGAAATCGAGAACGCCGTTACGTCATGTCACACATTCCTGCGGAGGGAGCTGGTAAGAACGTTGGGTTGCTCGGTCAATGGCCTGCAGGGTCAACAGCGGCGTGGTGTATTCCGCAAATATGCCCGACTGTGAGGGCGGGCACAATCCGGCGTGAGTAGGTTAAACGTTGAGTTTTATAAGGGCACCACGGGGTGACCAGCCCCTCCCTACCCAGCCCCACCCCTCCCACCCCCCACCCAGCCCCACCCTCCCCACCCAGCCCCCCCACCCAGCTCCTCCCCACCCTCCCCACCCAGCCCCTCTCCACCCTCCCCTCCCCACCCAGCCCCACCCTCCCCACCCAGCCCCTCCCCACCCTCCCCTCGCTACCCAGCCCCTCCCTCCCCACCAAGCCCCTCCCCACCCTCCCCTCTCCACCCAGCCCCACCCCTCCCATTTTTGGATGCACGACGGACGGACGGACACAATAATTCCCTGTGGGCTGGTGGAACCAGGAGGTTCCTACCAGTACAACGTTACCACAGTTGCGTTGTAATAACTCGGTGATTGATTAAAAGGGGATTTATCTGAATTGGTAACGGCACAGGAGTTGAAAGGGCAATGATCTCGGCTCCCTGGGGTGCTCCTCCTTCAGACCTCCGAATTCAAAAACGTCACAGGCGCGGGCATCGGTGAAAAAATAGCTTTATAGCTCATCGGATTCTTCCAGTATACATATGCTGATTCTGATTTGAAGTACTTCTGAATCCAAATATGACGTTCGATGGCTATGGAAATTATATTTATTTTTAAAGTGATTTGTTTACATTGCCTATACGGTAATTTGCACGCTTATCGTATTTTTTTGCATTATTTGTTGTAACGTTTGTTGTTTTATTTATTATTTTGTTGTTTCCCTTCTACGTGACTTTACCGAAAGAACCAATAATATGAATCCCTGCAGTCACGAAAGCTTTAAATCAAAATTTTGGGGGTTGTTGTTTAGCTATGGGAGGAAACTTGGGAGGCGGGAGAAACCCCCCACACGGCACAGAGGGAGAGCATACAAACTCCAGCAACACAGACACGCGGCCGAGGCCACAGTCAAACCCCACGATCTTCTCCGGCTGTGCGCAGCGGGCCACCGACCCTGCCGCACGTGTGAGCCTTGTGACGGTGCGGGGGGGGGGCTCGAGGCTTTGTGGGGAGGGGGGCTCCTGGGGGTCGTGGGGGGCTCACAGCCCGTGGGGAGCTCGGGGGCTACTGGGTGGCTCATGCTCGTGGGGGGACTCGGGGCTACTGAGGGTTCGTGGTGGGTTCAGAGCCCGTTTGGGGCTCGGGGCTATTGGGGGGCTCACAGCCCGTGGGGGGTTCGTGGTGGGTTCAGACCCCGTGGGGGGCTCGGGGATATTGGGGGGCCCGTGGGGGGCTCGGGGCTCGTGGTTGACCGCTCCGATTCATTTTGCACGCTTTCATTTAACTCACTCTGTCTGTTGTTGTCGTTGTAATAATTGTTGTCGTTGTTGTAAACTCAAATCTTGTAACTCAATTTTAACCCACTTCCCAATGTGGTATCGACTGCAGACTTGATATACTTATGTCATACTGATGACAATACTATATTCCACCATAAAAAATCTATTTTTTTAAAACATTATTTTAGATATGTTATGTTTCGGCTTGGGTCTAATTGTCTGACGTGGGCTGTAATTGGCCACGGTCCCTTACGTGATGGCAAGCTTCGGGGCCACTTCCTGGAGTCGTGGAGTTCTTCCATTACCAGTACATTTAATTAAAACGTGTTTTTAAAAAAAGTATTTTAAATATTACTTATTCAATTCCGTAATCGTTTCACTGCCGCGTGGGTCACGCGCCAGGGCTGGGAGGGGTGGGGGGGTCGCGTGACGTAACCCACTCAGGGGGTTCGTCACGTGACGAATCAGCTGATCGCACCACGTGGGGGGTGTCCGCATGCCGCTGCCGCCGCTTCCTCTTTAAAGGGGCCGCGTCCACGTTTGGGGGTCGCAGCTCGGCGTGGCCACAAACTCCACCGCAGATTCTCACCAACAACTCCACCTCCACCAACCCTCCCTGCGTCACCCAACACCTCCACCACCAACCCTCCCTGCATCGCCTGAATCACCCAACACCTTCACGCCGCTCGTCGTCACCCTGCCAGCAGCCGCTGACACCAAGCGAGGTGAGTTGGTGGCCGCCCTGGTGCCCAGAGGGGCCGGTCCGCGTGGTGGACTAGGGGTGGTGGGGCTGAATGTGGTTGTGATGGTTGTGGTTGTGGTGGCACAGTAGGGGGCACAGGTGGTGTATCGGGCCAGTCATCGCGGTCGGTTGACCCATGGCACCTACTGGGTCTGTCCCGTGACCTTCCTGCCAGCGGGCGTTCGACACTTCACGTGGCCTTAACGTGGCCTTAACGTGCACGTAGCCTGGCACAAGCGTCGTGGTGACCTCATCGTCACTTAATGGCGAATGGCGGTGGTTGTTGTTGTGGGGAGCGGTGGTGCAGCGGTTAGCGCTGCGCTACGAACCTGGAGACTCGAGTTCGATTCCCGCTCACGGCCAACACCACCAGTGACGATTATCTGAACCGGTCCTGGGCCTCCCCTAGGTCTACTCAACCTCAAATGAGTACCTGGTTTCGGCCTTTCAAAGGTGCTCGCCAACAACACTTGGTCCTACAGTCTGTTGAGGCTATACTGGGGGGGGTCGTTCCTTTGTCTTTGGTCGTGGTTGTTATGTGTTGACTCCGTGTCTCTCGCATAATGCAAACAAAGGAAACGCAATTTGGCGTCTGTGGAAAAACGCTTTATAGCTCTTCGGATTCCTCCAGTATCAATAAAGATTCGGAGTTCCCCGCTGAATGAAATTACCCAATCCACCAATTGCGGAAGCTAAGCCGAAAAAAACCTAAGAATAAGCTAAGCCGAGTTTAGCCTGCCCAGTGCGTAACAGGCGTTATAGGCTGCGGTCTATGTTGTGGGTAGCAAAAAGAGGTCCGTGCAGAGAAACATCTGTTGTACTGCACCACGCTGTTCTCGTATGATCCAGCGTCTATGAATAATAAAATAAAACCGATGTCACATATATAAAGGATTTATAGTGAAAAACTTTGTTTTTACGGGTTAATTTTTTGTTTGTTGCGGTTGCACCCGATTCAAGAGCCGAATGGCTCACAGGGCTATACCTAATAAATGAACTTGAACTATGCTGCCTTATTGACCAGAATGCGTGTTTATACTACTGGAGAAATCTGATGAGCTATAAAGCTCTTTCACACATGTTCAACAGCACCCCCCCCCCCCAGTCAGCGCTTTATTGGCAAAAGGGCCGTGCCGTGTACACATTCATCGGACGAAAACTTTCTTTAATGAAAATGGTTTCCGGAACGTTCCCCGTTTTATTTTAATCGAATTAAAGAGGTAACGAAATATTGCAAAGAGGGCACCACGGAGCGAAGGCGGAGCGCCCCCTACAGCGTGAAATGTTCAGTTTCATTTCAGTTTAGTAGTATTTTTTTACCCTTTAAACTGGTACAAAACTGACACCTTTATACAAGGGCATCATGTTTGCAATAACCACAACACAAGTAGTCAAAATGCAAACAAAAATAAACAGATGTGACGTCACCGCTCACTTGCTGTGCAAAATATATCCATTATTGCGCCCCCCGCCCCCCCAAATACAAAAGTCTATTTTTATACGTTTAGCATTGTGTACAATCTGGAAAGTACCCACAAGCCAAATTTCAAGTTTGTTGCATGTCGGGAAGTATGCTAAAAATTTAGAACAGACACACATTAACAAATTTCCCTTTTGTATATGTATAGACTACTCGAAAGAAAAATATTCTCAGAAAGTGTTAAAACAATTTGAAGCACCCTGTTTAATAGCCTAGGTTCGACCGTGTGAGACAAATCAAATGTTGGGGCCCCACCTAACCGATTGCCGCACCCCCTGAGCTGATAAAGTCGTCACTGCGCCACTGATCTGTCGGCACCAGTTTGCGAGGTTTCGGAAGCAGAATATGTATAGTGGAGGAATCCGATGAGCTGTAAAGCTCTTTTTAGCAGATGTTCAGTAGGGGCGTGTCAGAAAGTTACAACAACAAACAAAACACAAACACGATAGGAGTGCAAAGTATAGGAATGGTAAACGACACGCGTTTAGAGTATTTGGCTGCTGTAAATGTCCACGTGACAAGCCACTTTGTTGAGCTGTCATTTGTGGCCAGGTCGCTTCTGAAAAAGAGCTGTATAGCTCAGTGGGGCTCTTACCTGGTAAAATAAAAAGGAGTTTATTACAGCCTTGTAAATTCGATTATGCTGATGTGGTGCTCTCACCTGGTCAAGCTATAAACGTAAACTTTACCTTGTGAGCACTTAATTAGTGACCGTGTGGGTGATTCATGACCGGGTGGTTGTGCCCGTCCATGCATGAGATTCGTGGCTGCGTGTACATTGTTGTGTGTGTCATTCGTGACATTGTGTGTGGACATGGTAATGCGTGTGATTAGTGAACGGCGTATTTGTGGGTGTGCATGCCCGTGTGTGTCTTCATTTGTGACAGTGTGTACACGTTTGTGTGTGTGATTAGTAACAATGTATAGTGGGTAGCGCTCTGCTACGAACCACGCTTACGGCCAATATCGGTGACGAATATCTAAACTGGTCCAGGACATCCCCTAGGTCGACTCGGCCTCAAATGAGTACCTCGTGCAGTGCGTAAACGTCGCCACCAAAGGGAGAAAGGCGGCCGGGAGTGGTGCTGGCCACCCACCCCCTCGTGTTCCATGCCGGTCTTCATAGGTTCTCGCTAATGGCACTTGCCCCAAGAGTTTGTTAAGGTTACACGGGTGATCTTTGTTGTGTGTGCGTGCGTGCACAGGCCATGCTGCTGTTGCGCGTGCTGTGTGCGCTGGTGTCCACGGTGTGCGTGCTGGGCCTGGACAACGGCCTCATGAGGACTCCCCCCATGGGCTGGCTCGCCTGGGAGCGCTTCCGCTGCAATGTGGACTGCAAAAACGACCCCGACAACTGCATCAGGTACCGTAACACTCCCCGATGTACGCCCTCCCATTCCGCGTGCGTTCACTGTACCGTACCCAACTTATTGATACTCGGTCCCGTTTTGCGTACCTCTCCATGACGTACCCTCGAGGTTTTACGAACTTTTACCATCGAGACACTAAGTTTTTTACGTTGCACGACGAACATTCAGGCACCAGATGGCGCCCAAGCGTTAGTGTCCCCTGACTGGCTATAGTCCCTTTCGAGTGTACATGGACTCTTGGAATATTTTTTTCCCCCCACATACCGTATTTATTTTGAGTGTAAACTTTTTTTTTTTAAATAAACTCCTAATAATACATATGATATAATGGGCAAAGTAATATCAATAATATACTTACTTTTCACACCGATTGTTGTACGGTACAGATCCGCAATGGGTTACCGAGCATCCCCTGGTGAGGTTCTGTACCACGTTACGATCAACCATCCCATCGCGAGTCGTAGTACAGCCACTACTAATAGGTTCTGGAGCACATTACCATCCACCGTCCGATCTCCATGCTCTGATTTCCGTTCTAGTTTTCAGGAACGCATCCCGGGCGTACCGCGGGGTAATGCCTCGTAATTGGCAACAATCATGGTAATATCTCAACTTACAAAAGCAGTCCCCCCCCCCCGGCCAACATCCCCGATGCCTGCCACTCCACCTGGACGTGGCTTCTCTCATCGGCTCGTACCGCGCACCTGTTGCATTGGCAACTCCCCATCTCCTCCAAGGGTGTGCTCTGGCAGTCTCCCGCCGTCTGTCTGCCTTTCACGCTTCCTCTTGCTCGCTGCTCTGTCCTGCGCGCGTATCCCACCCGTCTCCACCTCTAGCAAAACAAAACTAAATTATTCTTTATTTTACCAGGTAAGGCCCACTGAGCTATCAGAAGTGCCCTGGCCACAAATGATAGCTCAACGAAGTGGCTTATCATGTAGAAATGTATAGCAGCCAAAGGAAGGACTATAAATTGACCCGGTGACCCCGCTTCCCCCACCTCTCCCGTGCCCCCCCGCCTCCACCGTGCCTCACCTCCCCTAGCGAGCGACTCTTCAAGGCGATGGCGGACCGCCTGGCGGAGGACGGGTGGCGTGAGCTCGGCTACGTCTACGTCAACATCGATGACTGCTGGATGAGCAGGCAGCGGGACGCGCGGGGCCGCCTGCAGGCCGACCCTGAGCGCTTCCCCAGCGGCATCAAGGCCCTGGCCGACTACGTGAGCACCGCCGCTCGCCGGCACCGACAGGCCCTGGCCGCCACGCACCGGCTCGTGTTTGTCTCCGTGTGTGTGTGTCTGTCTTTGTGCTTCCGTGTGTGTGCTTCTGTCTGTGTGTGTAGGGGTTTGTGTCTTTGTGATCCCATGTGTGTGTGAGAGCTTCTGTCTGTGTGTGTGTGTAGGGGTTTGTGTCTTTGTGATCCCATGTGTGTGTGTGAGCTTCTGTCTGTGTGTGTAGGGGTTTGTGTCTTTGTGATCCCGTGTGTGTGTGTGCGCTTCTGTCTGTGTGTGTGTGTGCGCTTCTGTCTGTGTGTGTGTGCACGCTTCTGTGTGTGTGTGTGCTTCTGCCTGTGTGTGTGTATGCTAGGGGGAACGGTAGTGTAGCGGTTAGCGCGCTGTTGCTACGAACTCGGCGACCCGAGCTCGATTCCCGCTCGCGGCCAACACCAGTGACGATTATTTGAACCCGGTCCTGGGAACTCCCCTAGGTCGACTCGGCCTCAAATGAGTACCCGATGCGGCATGTAAACATCGCCACTTGCTAACAGCACTTGTTGAGGCTACAACGGTGTGGGATCTTTGGTGTGTGCGGGACGGCAGGTGCACGCGCGCGGCCTCAAGCTCGGCATCTACGAGGACCTGGGCACGCTGACGTGCGGGGGCTACCCTGGCACGACGCTCGCCGACGTGCAGACCGATGCCACCACCTTCGCCGAGTGGGAGGTGGACATGCTCAAGCTGGACGGCTGCTACTCCAACTCCTCCGAGAAGGCCGAAGGTACCGCCGGCCACGTAGCGGGGAGGGGTGCGAGGAGGGCAGGGGCATCCATCCTCCGCTTCTCTCTCCTTGGGACACGGCTAAGAGGAAGATGTGCCACTTCGTTACTTGTTCAGCACACCGGTCTGTTGGAAAGGAGGAATCTTGTTACAGGAGGAATGATGAGGCTGGTTGTAATCACCAGTGAAACATTGTACTCGAATTTATGAGTGCCGTGGTGGCGAGTTGTTAAATCTCTTGCCTGGTGTTAAAGCCTACGTGCTAAGCTCTTGCCTGGTATACAGAAGGTCATGGATTTGATCCCAGCCCTGACGCTTGCTGTATATTTAGAGTTTGCATGCTCTCCCCGTGGTTGCATGGATTTTTCTCCGGCTCCTCTGGTTTTTTCCCCTCAATTTAAGAGTATTTGGATACTATAATATACTATAAATTTCGCTATGATGACAAGCCATTGCATTGAGCTATCATTTGTGGCCAGGTCGCTACTGAAAAATAGCAATTTAGCTCATAGGCCTTACCTGGTAAAATACAAATTGTTTATAATAGTTTATAAAAATAAACACGGTATTAGCTGAGGCCGCGTGGCGCGACAATCGGAAGCACATTGTTGCCAGGTCATAAATATTGCCGTCTCGTCCTCGACTGAGTGTGGTGGCTAAGATGTGAGCAGTGATGGATGCGGCCTGTTTGTGTGCCGTGTGGAAGCGGTCAGCCTCGGGTGGCCAAGGCCACGTGGAGTCGCGGGCCGCGTGCTGCCCGGCCTTGGTGCGGAGTGAAATGCGGAGATGCCCCCCCCCATCACTCCTTCCCCCATGTGATGGACTCCCTCCCTCCATCTCTGTCTGTCTGCGCAGGCTACCCCAGCATGAGCCGTGCCCTCAACGCCACGGGCCGCCCCATCGCCTACTCGTGCAGCTGGCCGGCATACGAGGGCGGCCTCCCGCCCAAGGTGGATCCCGTCGCCCCCTCTAACACCCCCCCCCCCCACCCCCACCACCAAGCCTACACCCACCTCATGGGTACCCAAGGAACCGGATGAGTGCAGGAAAACGTAGGGGAACGGTGATTGTGTTGATGAAGTTCCTGGGAGGTCTGTGGAGGTTGTTAGAAAGTGCAGTGAGTCTTGGCTTTTCTGAATGTGTGGCGAGTGATTTTTTTTTTTAGGATAAGCCCAGAAAATGAGGTCGAGCTAAGGGATGCATTACATTAATGTTTTAAGAGGGCGCCGCAGTGGTGAGATGTTAACTACCTCTCCTGGTATGCAGGAGGCTGTGGGTTGGATCCTGACCCTGACACCTATATATTTGGAGTTTGCGTGTTTCTCGCCCCATAGTCCCGTGGATTTTTCTCCGGGTCCTCCAGGTTTTTCCCTCCACATTTAGAATCAATGTCACGTATTTAGAGTATTTAGATGCTATACATTTACACGTAATAATAAGCCACTTCGTTGAGCTATCATTTATCATGACCAGGTCGGCTCTGAAACATAGTTATATTGCTCCGTGGGCCTTACTTGGTAAAATAGTAATAGTTTTAAATAGTTTTTGTGTTTTCGTCTCGACTCTTCGAGGCTTTTGGCGTCAGCCGAGAGCCAAAGGGGCCTCTAGCTCTAGAGGCCATTGCTTGTCTGCTCGCTCGTCCAGGGGTTGATGGCTTTCCCTGCGGGCGGTGCGGCAACTGCAGGTCAACTACACGCAGCTCGGAGACATCTGCAACCTGTGGCGCAACTACGACGACATCGAGGATTCGTGGGATTCCGTTCAGTCCATCATGGACTGGTGGGGCGACCACCAGGAGGTGCTCATCCCCGCAGCTGCGCCCGGCCGCTGGAACGACCCTGACATGGTACGGCACCGCCCGCTGTTTTCATGGTAAAAGCTAAATTTACCACTCTAGGCCTCTGGTGTGCCAGTCCTACTTTTTCACGAAATTGCACATTTTCCCACCAATATTTGTGTCCCGTAATATCCGTCACGTGACAGTCGCACCAAGGAATTTAATTCTCATAGCTGGAATTTGTGGACAAAATATGGGCACCACGGTGGTGAGATGTTAACTCCCTCGCCTGGTATACAAGAGGTCATAGGTTCGATCCCAACCCTAAGACATGTATATATTTGGAGTTTGCGTGTTTCTCTCTTCGTGGATTTGTCTCCGGCTCCTCCAGGTTTTTCCTTCCACATTTCGAATCAACATGACGTGATTAGAGTATTTGGCTGCTATAAATGTCCACGTAATGATAAGCTAATTCGTTGAGCTATCATTTGCGGCTAGGTCGCTTCGGGGGAAAAAGAGAGCTAGATAACTCGGTGGGCCTTACCTGCTAAGATAAAAATTGTTTAATAGTTACATTTTTAGTTTGTGCATTCGTTGGTGACTGGGCAGAGACTTACGACTCGCTACACTCGAGGACCCAGTTTAAACGCACGCAGGCAGCGGCTGAAACCTGGATTCGAACCCAGCATCTCGGCGGTGCCAGCTCACCGCTTCTCTCCTCGCGCGGGTTCCGAGCAAGAGCACCTGCGACGGCCGCGTGCTGTTTTTGCCCACAGCTGATCGTGGGCGACTTTGGGCTGAGCTACGACCAGTCGCGCGCGCAGATGGCCGTCTGGGCCGTGCTGGCCGCCCCCTATTTCATGTCCAACGACCTGCGCAGCATGTCGGCCGCGGCGCGTGAGCTACTGCAGAACCGCCTCCTCATCCAGATCAACCAGGACCCGCTGGGCCAGCAGGGCCGGCGCATCGTCAAGGTGAGCCCAGACGGTGGTATTTTCCTTCCGCACACGATGGTACATTCTGCCCCCACATGGTAGGACACGCCATCCCCACACGGTGGTTCACTCCGTCCCCACACGGTGGTACATTCCGTTATATCCTTGTCACTCTGTTGCCGCTACAACCATGGTGTACTGAAACCACGAACTTCACTCATTGGTTTTCACCACCCATTTTGAAGATTCGGTCCACCGGACTGGCCGAATCATCTCGTGCATCGCGCCGTCTTCAACCACTACGCCTGCGATTCACAACAACAACACACCCACTCAACCAATCGCTCACTCGCTCACCCACCCACTCACTCGCCACACTGCAGATTACGACACTTCTCTTTCTGCACTGCTCCACGTTGGAATTCCCTCCTGCCTACATTGTCTTTTCTCCTATAACGCGTGTTGTTTTCATAACGCCAATTTGACATAACGCAATGAATGTACTAGGGAACAAATTTTTTATAACGCAGATGCGAATTGGATATAACGCGATCGAGTGAACGGAACTACAATGCGCAAGGAGGAATAAGCGGGTTGTATGGCAACCTCGGTGAAGCATCGCACGGGGTGGGATGCTGCTGGATGCTTCTAGATGCAACCCACACGCATCAGCCTGCTTGGCCTGCGTTACACATCTCGTGTCATTGCGGACTGTTGCTTTACGCTATATTATTTATGATAACGCGATTTTTCCAGCATTTATAGGAGAACAGGCTGCACTAACGTCTCTCTTGCCGAGCTTTTCCAGTCGCCTTGCTCGATCCTGCCCCCCCGCCCCCTCGTATTCTCCGGCCAGCCCCGCCTGACCCCCTCTGCGTGTGTCTTTGTCTGGCCGCTGTCTACCCCGCCCCTCCAGGAGAAGTCCCACATCGAGGTGTGGTCGCGGAACCTGACTGACGGTGCGTGGGCGCTGGCATTTGCGAGCCGCCGCGTGGACATGCCGTACCCGTACAGCGCCACGCTGGCCGCGCTGGGGGCTCCCGCAGGCTCCAAGTACTGGGTGAGAGGCAGTACTGTCCCTTACGGGGTAGTGGTTGCCCTATGGATAGATGTGTCCCTGTCATAGCAATGTGTTAATCCCGCCACTGGTTCTGAGATATATAAACAAGAGGTGAGCGTCGCCTCAATGCTCGTTTGAGCGATTCATCAGTTCAACAATTTTTTTATTTTACCAGGTAAGGTCCACTGAGCAATATAGCTCTTTTTTTAGAAGCAACCTGGCCACATGATAGCACAACGAAGTGGCTGATCGTGTAGAAGTTTATAACAGCCAAATACTCTAATCGCACGTTGATTCTAAATGTGGAGGCGAAAACCGGAGGACCCGGAGAAAAATCCATTCCACCATGGGGAGAGAATTGCGCAAACTCCAAATATATAGCAGGCGTCAGGGTCGAGATCGAACCGACAACCTCCTGCATATCAGGCGAAGAAATTAACATCTCAACACTGACTCGCTGATGGACAAATTATGAAGTTTCCTGCAATTGTAGATGCCTCTGCCCACCATCCTCCAGAGGTCTCACAGGTCAGGTGTGTGTGTGCGTCTATTCCGCAGGTGATTGACGTGTTCTCGGGGAAGCAGATCGGCACCCTCAAGTCCGAGGAGAAGTTCACTGTGTCCATCAACCCCAGCGGCGCCGAGATGTGGTACCTGAACCCGACTGGTGCTACCGCCGATCGGCCCCTGTGGATGAAACCGCGCGCCCGCATTCCCGTGCCGCCCGGCAACGACTTGCTGTGATCGCAGCTCAGGAGGTGTGGTGGTGGGCGGCTCGCTAATTCTCACTTCACAATTATCACGGTTCTCTCTGCGTCACATCACAATCAACCCCCAACACTTACTACTACTGCTATGTTTTATTATTTTACCAGGTAAGGTCCCACTGAGCTATACATAGGTCTTTTTCAGTCAGTGACCTGGCCACAATTGATAGCTAAACGAAAGTGGTTTGTTATGTGGAAATGTATTGCAGCCAAATACACTGAGTGCACATCGATTCTAAATGTGGAGGGGAAAAACAGGAGGACCTGGAGAAAACTCCGCGCCACCACGGAGAGAACATGCAAACGCCAATTATATCGGCGTCAAGGTCGGGATCGAACCTACTACCTCCTGCATACCATGCGAGGTAGTTAACGTCGCACCTCCGTGGCGCCCCAAACTTAACCCTGCAGATGAAGGCTAGTGCTGTAATTATTTTATACAAATGTTTTGCCTTCAAGTGTAGGGGGCCACATGCCTGGAAAGTTGCGTATCAGCGTTGTGCCCTGCAATGCCAATCCAAGGGTCTGCCCAAATTACTCTTGCAAATAATGAGACTCCTCCTGGTCTTTGATTTGTCAGCTGAGTGAAACAAAAGAAACTTGAATTCCTGGCACAGTACCCCAAACGAGAACTCCCCGCTCATCCCTCGCTGTCAGTCCGTTGCAGCCAGGAGGTCCTGGGCCTTTACCATTGGTCTCCTCCACCCAGCAGGTGCCCTTAAGCAGAGAGAGAAACGTGGTGGGCATGGTCGTGATGCCCAGAATGCTGTAGCCGGAACCTGCCGTGCCATGCGGGCAGCCGCACTGCATCTCGCTTTCTCGAGGTGGTCTCGAGGTGAGACAAAAAGCCATTTGATCTGTACCCTGAAGGTCGCCTTCACTTGCTGTGCTCACCGTGGGATGCGGCGCTGGGGAAGTTAAAGTTGTGCGTAGATCTGTGGGGTACATTGCGCAAAAAACCTGCGTGGAATGTGGTGTTGCACAAGGGGAATCTATAATTGGTTAACTTGAGGTCACATGGGTTGAGGCCTGGGCAATGCTTATGCTGTACAAAATGGATGGTGGCTTTATTTTCTTGACAAATGGTGTGGGTTGAATTAATTAAATGAATTAATTCGTTAATAAAAGGTATTTTAAAAAATATTTTTTACAAATTCACATTCATACTGCCTCTTGATTGTTGAGTTTACAGTCCTGAATCGGAGTATACTTGCCTGTTGTGAATTTTCTAGCGTGGTGTCTTTGCCTAGTTCGATTGAGTCGTTTCAGTTGGAACATTTTGAACATGGCGTGGGTCGATTGGTTCTAGACCCTAAGCTTTTTTTTATCTTGACCCACTGCACATCGTGTGGTTAGAATGAATTGTCATTGGCTATAACAGCCCAACAACCTTCAACTTTGTCATTATAATGTAGGAACAGTTTGTGAAAATGTCTGTCTGACGTGTTGAGCGAGATGTTGCCTCCTACAAAACTTCCTGTGGCATGAATTAAAAAAAATCCTGTTCCAACAATTACAGCGAGACTCCTAACTCACTAACTAATGCGCGTGTTCACTCTCAAACGAGTGAACCCTAACCGTAGGCTTCCTTGAATGTTCACCGAAGCGAAACACCAAGAATCATGACCAACCTGATAACAGCTTCCAGTGCTAACACAGATCATTCCAACCAATATTGGGATTCATAATAGATGTATGGGTTCGGCCACAATGATCTGGTCAAATTATGTCGTGAATTTACCAGTGAGCTGAAATAATAATGTGGCCTGTGGAAATGCTTGTACACGTGACCAGTTTAATTGGTTTGCCCGTGTCAGATGGAAGGTCTTCTGACATGACGGAATCGATGCCAAGTCCTGTACTTGTTTTAATACTCATCTCAGCATTAACAGCGGCTCTTCCTCCCATTTTCATCTCTCACTTCTTTCAAGCCTAAACCAAAGATCGTGAATGATAAACTTGACCCAAACATTAGCGCTAACCTGATTTAAATGATTTGCACTGCGGTGACGCTTATGTGGAATGAAAGTTGAAAAGTAAATGTGGTGAGATCGGCAAGCAGAATAAAGAGGCTTTGAATTTTTGTAAACATTTCGTGTCATGTTTATCTCTGATTTATTAATAATATAATAAGAGCACTTGTAATCTGCAGTTTTGCAGACGGGTTAAAGTTTGCGTGTGACTAGAGGTGCAGTGCCCAACTCTGTCTTGTTTTTTTTTACCAGGTAAGGCCCACTGAGCTATATAGATCTTTTTCAGAACTCAACGAAGTGGCTTATCATGTGGAAATTTATATAAACGCACATTTCTAAATGTGAAGCGAAAAACAGGAGGACCCGGAGAAGAATCCACGCGACCAGACATCAGGGCCGGGATCGAACGTACAAACACATTTAGGGTGTTGAACTTCTTTCGCACCGTACCGAGACAACTGCTATATAAAAATTAGAGCTGTCAAGAAACTGCCCTCATTTCTCCGCTAAAAATGAGGTTGCCCCCCTGCATTGTCTCTGTCTGCTCACGCCACTGCTCGTGGGAAAGGCCTCTACTAGAAGGGAGTTCTCGGGGGTATTTGGCCTACTCTTCCGCACTGATCAGTCTTACTGATCATTGCATCGCACGCTTTCAGATGCACTCCTGCGGCTACCTGGAATGCTCTTCCGATATTAGGAAGTCACTGGAGCTTTGCACTTAAATATACATTGAAAACGAATAAAAAATTTTGTTTAGTTGTCCTTCCCCCGCACCTCCAATTATCAAGGTTGGCAAAGTACGGTGCGAAAGAAGTTCTACATATAAGGTAAAAGGTGCAGCCCTGCAATTGTTTGTTCACACCACTGTTGGTAGAAGGGCCTCCCACACTGCAGGGAACTCTATAGAAGCGACCTCAAAAGGTTATTTGACCTCTTCCACGCTGGCATAATTAGCAGAGACCCAGGTGCCATTGGTTGGCTGAGATGACCGGCAGATGCACCACCTGTGCCAGGCTTTGTGCAGGTCACGGGACAGGCCCAGGTTTCATGGGTTGGGGGCCGTCCATAAATGACGTCACGCAATTTTTGACCCCCCCCCCCTTTCGTCACACAGCAGTCACAAAAAGTCAGACCCCCCCTTCAAATATGACGTCATAAAGCTCTGCCCCCCCCCCCCGAATAAAATATGCTTCAAGTCGCTTTAAACTATTGTCATTGTAGTGCGTATTTAATGTGCCGCTGCACTCTGATGTTGTAGGAGAAAACATTTATTAAAAAGTCTTTAATTAAGTAGAACGTGTTGCCTATATTTATTTAAAGTTGCGTATTTTGATGTGACGTCACATTTCTCAACCCCCCCCTCGTCGTCATACATCGTCACAAATGTCTGACCCCCCTAGGTACGTGACGTCATTTATGGACGGCCTCTTGAATGAGATGGCTGGTAGATGCACCAGTTGTGCGCCCCACTGTGCAACTCTCTGCGCTGTGCTTTAGCCACCCGTGCTGTGCTCGTTGTTGTGAGCGTCGCTCATTGGCCATTCGTTGTTGCTGGAGGGCGACTGCCTCCAACTCCCCTGCAACGACATTCACGAACACAAAACATGTCAACACATTTCATGCCAACACAGCATACCAACACATAGAATGCCAACATACCATGCTAACAAACAATGCCAACACAGCATGCGATCGTACCATGTCCGCACATCGGATGCCAACGCACAACATTCCAAAACACCTTCTTGGTTCTTTCGGTAAAGTCACGTAGAATGGAAATAATAAAATAATAAAAACTCTACGTGACTTTACCGAAAGAACCAAGAAGATGAATCCCTGCAGTCACGAAAGCTTTAAATCGAAATATTCCAAAACACGCCATGCCAACAACACAGCACGGCAACAACACGTGCTGCCATGGGAGGCACGAAACTGGCGGGGGGGAGGGGTTGTGTTGTTGGGGGGAGGGGCGGGGCTGCGGGGGTTGAGGGGGTAGGGGCGGGGTTGTTAAAGAGGGGCGGGGTTTAGGGGGAAGGGCGGGGCTTGTCAATTGGAGAGGGGGGAGGGGTTTTGGGAGGGGGGGTGTAAGTTGGGGAGGGGGGGAGGGGGTTTGGGGGGGAGGGGGGGAGGGGGTTTGGGGGGAGGGGGTTTGGGGGGGAGGGGGGGAGGGGGTTTGGGGGGGAGGGGGGGAGGGGGTTTGGGGGGGAGGGGGAGAGGGGGTTTGGGGGGGAGGGGGTTTGGGGGGGGCTTGTCTCGTGCTGGCGCATGCGCAGTGAGTCCGCGAGGCACGAGCAAGATGGCGTTGAACAGGAACCACTCGCAGAACGGCGGCGTCGTGGTGACCAACAGCGAGAGGTGTGGCGGGCAGGCCGCGCGAGTGTGTGGCACGAGCGACGTGGTGGTGGTGTTGTTGTTGTTGTAGTCGTTGTGTTGTTGTTGTTGTAGTCGTTGTTGTCCGTACCGTGAGCGCTGCGTGTTACCACCGCGAGTGGACCGCGCCTGTGTTGATGTTATGCGGCGTTGGGGGAGCGGTGGCGCTGTGGTTAGCGCAACCGCGCTCGCTGCGAACCAGGCGACCCGAGAGATTGTCCGAAACCGGCCGTCTAGGTCCGCTCAGCCTTAAAATTAGTGCCCGGTGCGACGTGGAAAACTGTCCGCAACGGGGGAGAGACGACGTCGCTCGAACGTGGTGGCACTTAACGGCGTTGATAGGCACTCGAGGACGGTAATGGCACCAACATTGTTTACATGTCTACATTGGGATCTCGGTGTTGTTCTGTGGTGTGGTGCGCTGTGTGTGTCGTGCTGTACCGACATCGCCACAAAGGCGGCCGGGCGTGGTGCTAGCCACTCAACCCTCGTGTGCCAGGCCGGCCTTAAGATGTGCTACTCGCTAGCAGCACTTGCCCCAGCAGTATGTTAAGGCTACACGGGGCATCTTTGTCTTTAGTGTACACTGTATTCGGTGCGTGGTCCTGTGAGCGATGGATGCCTCTTGGTCTAAAATATGGTCCAGCATGTGTTGTGTGTGTGGGTGTCATCGCCTCGCCTGTTTAGTGCACCTAGACTGGCACAATCCCCGTGGTGATGTCACCGCCACTTTGAGGGGAATGACGGTTGTTTTGTTGGTCTGTGTGTACAGTAGTGTTGTGTGTGGGGGTGTTGTGTGTGGGGGTGTTGTGTGTATAGTGTGTGGGGGTGTGGTGTGTGTGGGGGGGGTTGTGTATTGGGTGTGTTGTGTGTGGGGTGTATTGGGTGTGTATTTGGTGTGGGGGGTGTGTTGTGTGTATTGGGGTGTTGTGTAGGGGTGTGTGTGTTGTGTGTGGGGGTGTGTTGTGTGTGGTGGTGTCATCGTTGTCCGTACTGTTAGCGCTGCGTGTTGCCGCCAGCACCACGAGTGGACCGCGGCTGTGGTACGTGTTGTGTGCGCTGATTATGTTATGCAGGATGGAGCGGTGGTTTCGTACAACGCTCGACCGCCGTAGTCGCCCCCTGCGAGGGGCTGGCTGAGGTGCCATCTGTTGAAGTACAGAAGGCGATCCAGAGTCTGAGACCACGAAAAAGGACCAAGGCAAATTGATCTCCCAAGCGAGATGCTGAAGGAGGGTGGCGTTTCTGCACAGACTGCCTCATGATATCATAATAACAGTCTGGACCACTGGATGAGTTCCGCAGGATTGAAAGGATGCCCTCATGGTGGTCCTCTTTTAAGAAGGGTCACCGCACAGACTGTAACAACTACAGCGGCATCTCCCTCCTCAGTGTGCCGGGAAAGGTTCTGGCAAGGATTAATTATATTATTCAACATTGCCTTGCCAGGCACGCTGAGGTGATGCCATATCTTCTGTCCGGCTGCTACAGCAGAGGTACAGGGAATTCAAACAGGACCTACATCTCTGCTTTATTGACCGGGTCAAGGCCTATGATACCATTAGTAAGCCTGGGCTCTGGGTTGTTCTTCGTGCTTTTGGAGTCCCTGACTCTCTGCTCACAATCATTAATGATTAATGATTGTGAGTAGGCCCGGGTAAAACTACATAGCCGGGAGTCGGAGCCATTCCCTGCTCACCTTGGGGTGCGACAGGGATATCCTCTGGCTCCTACATTATTTAACAGCTATTTCGACCACGTAGTTCGTGACGCATTCGATGGTTGTACTTGAGGAATTTCCATCTGGTACAGATACAATGGGAGGCTGATCGATGCCTGGGTACGGTCAAGGGATGGCTCCCTATTGGTCAGCCATGTTATGTATGCCGATGATCTGGTGATTGCTGCTCACTCAGAGGAGGGAGTTGGAGGCGCTGCTGTTGAACCTGGAGCGTGCCACTAACATGTGGGGCCTTACCATCAGCCCCACCAAAACTAAGCACCTTTCTGGGTATTTTGTACCATCAGACACTCCACACCCACAACACCCAATTGGTGATGAGGCAGTTGTGGGGAGAGTGGAGAGTTTTCCTTACCTGGGCAGTGTGCTCATGACCAGTTCCGGTTTGACAGCAGAGGTCTCACTCCGAATCAGTTGAGCGGCATTATATTTTCATCGGCTGCATAATGCTGTGTGGAAGCTACCTGGTCTGTCGCTCCACACGAAGCTTCGGGTCTTTTCGGCCATGGTCATGCCCTCCCTTCTCTGCGCTTGCAAAACGTGGACCCCCCTAATGGAAAATCTTTGCCAGTTTGAAACATTTAGGCTGCCTGCCTATGATCCATCCTGCGTTTAACCAGGCTGGATTGTGTGAGGAGCTCACAAATCCTTGAAAGATCTGGACAAAGTCCCATCAGTGAGCTCCTACGGCAGGCAAGGCTGCGTTGGGTGGGTCATGTCGCCCGCATGCCCAGCCACCACATGCCTAGCCACCACATGCCTAAACAGCTTTTGTTTGGCCGGTTAGAGGGGGCTAAACGGGCGCGGCACGGGCTAGAGAAGAGATGAAGTGATGTGGTGCAAGAGGATGTAGAGCTGAGTGGCCTTGCCGATGACTGGTACCAGTGGTGTCAAGATCGTCCTCTGTGGAGTAGGCTCGTGAAGGATGCTACTAGGCAGTTAGAAGCAGCTGCCCTCCAGCAACAATGGAGGCCAGAGGAACGACGCTCACAACAACAAGCAGAGCGCCGGTTGGCTACAACACAGTAAGTTGGCACAGTAGGGGGCACAGGTTGTGCATTGGCCAGTGATCTTCAGTCAGTCGATCCATGGCAACTGAGTCTGCCCCGTGACCTCCTGCCAGCGGGCGTTCGACACTTCACGTGGCTTTAACGTGCATATAGCCTGGCACAAGCGTCATGGTGAGGTCACCGCCACTTAGTGGTGAATGGTGGTTATTGTTGTGTGTGTTGTGTATGAGGTGTTGTATATGTTGTGTGTGTGTGTGGGTTGTTGTTTGTGGGGGTATTGTATATGAGGTGTTGTGTATGGGGGTGTTGTGCCAATCGTCTCTTTCGGTATCACGTCCCTTCATAAATCCACTCCCATGGATGCGGTGTGGAGACGATAATGTGTGAGGGATGTCATACTGTACTACATATCTATTTGTGCCTGTGATGTGTTTATGTGATATGCGATGTGTGTGAATTTGGCGAGTGATATGATATATGAATGATGTGGTGATGTGTGGTGAGTGATGTGTGTATTTGAACCGGTCCTGGGCCTCCCCTAGGTTGACTCGGTCTCAAATAAGTACCCGGTGCGGTGTGTAAACATTGCCACTATGGAGACAAAAGCGACCCGGCGTGGTACCGACCATCCTACTCCTTCGTGTGCCATGCCAGCCTTTATAGGTGCTACTCGCTAACAGCACTTGCCCCAACAGTCTTTTAAGGCTACATGGGGGAATTTTTCTATTTCATGCGCGTGAGTAATGTGTGTAAGAGATGCCATGTATGAGTGATGTGTGTGGGATGTGAAAGATGTGATGTGTGAGTGATGTGATGTGTGTGAGACACGGCGATGGTGAGGTTGCTGTGACGAGCTTAATCCTCTCTGGCCAGCACCACTGCCCTGTATGTGTGACGTCCATGGTTTTAGTTCCGCCTTATGTTCCAGAATGTGCCACAGTGGTGATTTCCACTGTGATATTCCTAAGAATGTGTCCGTGTGTGTGCGCGCATGTCTACATGCCTGAGGGTTTGGTGTGTACAGTTTATATTTAGAATTTCCACGTGTATGTGTGTCACAGGGGTTTGTGTGTTTTAAGGGGTCTTTGTGTGTTGTTTTCATGGGGAGCGGTTAATAGGCTGCGCTGTGAACCCGGCGGCCCGGGTTCAATTCCTGCTCACGTCCAACATCAGTGACGACTATCTGAACCGGTCCGGGGCCTCCACTTGGTCGACTCAGCCAAAAATGAGTACAAAGGCGGCCGGGCATGGTGCTGGCCCTTGTGTGCCGAGTCGGCCTTCATAGGTGCTCGCTCGCAGCACTTGCCCCAACAGTCTGTTAAGGTTATTCGGGAGACCTTTGTTTTTGTGTTTAGTATTAGTGTGTACTTGTGCAGTATCGGTGTGTAGTGTGTGTGTGTGTTTGGTGTGGGTATGTGAGAACCACTACACTAACTCTACCTTTACATAAAATTCGCCTCCCATTTTCACAGCACCCCAGCATCACAGCTCACGTTATGCAAATAAACTCTGTACGGTTTCATGGAGTTTTTCTTTACGGAATTGAAACTTGAATGTTTATTTTGTATTATATTCTGTGACTTTTGAAAACATCCTGCAATGTGAAACCTGTTTCAACTCAGCACAAGGGCGTATGTATACAAAAATACACGTTTATTATTTATAATATTTACCTTCCAGTCAAATTACAATTCACGGCTAACATTGGTGGTTATTGGTAAATTAACTTCCCTGGGTACCCAATCTTTGCCAACTCTTATAGTGAAGCGTATGCTAACAGCACCCCTCCCCGTGACGGATATGGCATGGAAGGTTCCCCGCCCAGCAGTGGCTTGACAAAGGGCTGCACATGTACACGGTAGTGAAACTCCACGGTGCTGTGTTGTGATGGCTTCGAAAATGTGGACCCTTTGCACATATTCTTTTTTCTCTTGATTTGAAGCTTTCGTGACTGCAGGAATCCATACTCTTTGGTTCTTTTGGTAAAATCACATAGGTAGTCACTCCAGCGTCTGCATCATTATCCCCTCCCCCACCACCCCTCCCCCCCCCCATGTTCTGCACACTTCCTGTGTTAAAGTTGAGCTCCGTTGGAATTTTGTAGGAAGATGTAGATAATGTAAGTACGGTACGTTTACATTTCAATTACTGTACGGTAAGAAAAGGCAAACAGGTTAAAGTGCAGCCCTGCAATTCCTTTCTCACGCCTACTGCTGATGGAGGGAGGGGCCGTC